ATTAACGTACAGCCGAAGCTACCGAACCTAGAATCTTGAATTATGCAGGTTGGTCCTTTGTATAGCGTAAATTAGTATCTCACAAATCAAATTCTCCGCGGACAAAGCCTCGGGAAACCACTAGTTCATCATAAATACTCATGAGAGTACCTCATTGAGTGAGGTACATTCTTTGATCATCATCCAACCATTTTTAGAATAACTAAATCATCTAATCGCAGTTCGGAGAAGCGCTTTCAAGTTTTATTGCGTTTGAAAAATTATTCATGAAAACCCACGTCGAACATTTTTTATAAAAGTCCTAGTCTTTTCCATTTCAGATGATCCTAATCGGATTATTTCAAATCATGGCGTAAAAGCCTAATTTCTATTTATGGTCTTGTAAATAATATTTTATCAGATATTTCAGATCTGTATTCATGAAAATTCTCACAAGAAAGGGTGAGAATGATGAAATGAATGAGCTTTGGAATACTGAAAAAGTTTTAAAATATGAAAAGCATCAATTGTTATCCCTTCTATTTGATTTTAGTTTTGAAAAAATTAATTTTGTTTTGGTTGACTCCGAAAAACTGGTCAATTCATTTGACATTTATCCTCATAGAAATCAAATGATCTACACATGGAACATGAGAGTTTTGATATTATTTCCTACTTTTACAGGAAAGGGCGACTTCAAACCATCAGAAATAGATGGGTGAGTATAATGGTTTAATTATAATGTCCATTAAACAACATTTCTAATCAACCTCAATTTCATAATAGCTCAACCGATGCAGCAATCGACTGATTAATTGAAATGGGTTTTACTACTATTACGTGGTTTATTTACAGCGGTGTCGTTCCAAATGGAATTGTAATATAATGTACATCAAAGGGTTACTTCTGAAGGGATAAAATCACTCTGGGATCACCATTTCACTTTATAGTGGAAATCATACAATAAGCTGTATCAATTAGTTTCAATTTCACCATAGTTCAAATTGGAAGAGGTATTGTTTTAGGAGAGAATAATTTTTGGCAAAAAAATATTGGCTTCATACAAAAAAAGTGACAATCTTCCAAAATGAGGAAGAAAGCAATCGATTTCAAGAAAGTAACTGCAAATCATCCAAAGAAGGAACTTTCAGACACAAACTAAAAGAAAAACCCTCCCGAAACAGTTACTTTCATATAAAAATTGAATCACAAGTAACAACAATACTCCCAAAAATATATCCATTTCAATTCATCTGAATATTCGTTATGGGATTGGATTTAATCAGATATCATTCACAGGATTGCTACACAATACAATGAATGAAAGAGGTAAAATATCAACTATATGAAACACTGTCATCCTCACTTGTGAACATCTGATGTTTCGTCGTAAGACACTTGCCTTATCGTCACTTCTCCACCAAATCACTATTTNTCCGTGTTGTCCTAATGATTGTTGCAATCATATCCAGTTAGTTCTATGAAAATCATTGGATAACATCTGGTGGAGACACTTTTGCAAGATTTTTCCAAACTCGAAGAAGATTATCACACGTTTTTTCATTATTTTGCTCAAGTTAGTCGACTTCTTCAAGTGAACAGATATTTTCCCACAGTTTTGATGATTGAAATATGATTGTGAAATGAATGAAAATCAAGAAAGGATCCAAACTCTTCAGTCGAGTGACTGCATGATTTTATTAAAATTTTGTAATCCAAAATATTGATAATAATCAGTATACTTTCATACTCACTATCAAATACATCACTTTTCTTTGAAGCTGCATGAAATATCATTTTATTCAAATTTCTGCAACTGCCACAATAACAGACAAATATTCTCGTTCCGAAACTGGAGGCTCCATTGAAACAAAAGGAACAAACATAGAGATAAACATTTCCGAATGCGGTTCGGGAATTTCCAACCTAGCGTTTGTAACATAATTTCCTGTATTCTGAATCCACCTCGAATTCATTCCATCAGAATTGTTTCAGATGAATACAATTTTCGAATTGATGGGATTTACTTTGAAGGGAACAACTTCATTGTCAACTACGATTATAATGCCTTTGTTTGTGAGTGAACTTTCGAAAAAAAACTGTGTTCATAATCATTACAACAATAATGATGATTTCATTTTCCCAAGAAACATACATGCTCACTATAGAGGAAAATAATTCAAAACTGAAAGATAACTAAGTACGAACAAAAAGAAACAATAAAAAGATAAATCAGAACAATGACTGAAAACGTTCGTTCAAAGGTGGTTGATGATGTTTCATGATGAATTTTTTTAGTTTGGATTTCTATTGATTGATGTGATATATGATTTGAAATCCTTAAAAAACAAATGACATTGAAAATTGAAATGAATAGCTGAAAATAAAAATTGAAATGAAATGATCATCAATAGATTTTAAGCCAAGTTACTTCACAACGTTTCGATTGTTAGAATCAACAATCATCTTCGGGTGATGACTGGACTAATTTCCCCAAAAACTGACTATTTATAGTCCAAGAGCCAGTGACGCATGTTTCATGAAGTGTTTGATGCACCCTGATATTTTGTAAGGCTAGTATCTATGGAATAAGAAGTACGAATACCTGTGTTTGCCTGACCCTGCCCGAAACACTAGGTACTGCGCATAATGGATAGGTGTAAAAAAATATAAGCCAAAATATGTTTTTGATTCACAGGCCAACAAACTTTAATCGAAAGCTTAGTTGATTTTTAATTGAAATTTAAAATGGCAGACACATAATGAATCAAAGATTTCACTTTAACAAAGTGAAATGTTTGATTCATTATGAAATTTCAACGGCTACTTAATGAAATATTGGGAAATAGTCCAATCATTATAGTAAGTTCACCTCGGAATTCCAGATACCCAGCTGTAAGTCTGTAAATACTTGTATATTGACACCCTTAAAGTTGTCTCAAAACCTACATATGGTAGGGTGTAAGCAACTATTAAATTTCAAGGTCAAAGGTCACAAAAATCGGTTTTTTGCGCTTTTTTTTGGAAATATATCATTTCCTATGGGTTTTTTGCTATTTGTATTCATAATAAATTGGGTCCGAAAATCATGTGCCTTGAGCAAGCGCAGTGAGCCAAGAATGACAGCCTTCGGCATTTGTGCGGCTAAGATTTCTGCCTTAGTGTGGCAAGCCGGTATGATTTTAAGATTCGAGAGTAGAGAGGACATCATTCCACCAAGGACTCCAATAATCATGATTATTATAATTATTGTTAACCATTGATGAATTTTGTTTTTCAAAGGAAAAAGCATTAAAAGATGGTGAGGTGTGTGAAGTTTTCTGGTTTGAAACAGTGTTCCAAGCTTCTGAGAAACAGTCTTTGCAATTCCAGCGACATGATTGTGCCAAGACATATTGGTGTCCATTTTAACCCACAACAAACTTATCGAAGAGGGAAGCGATGTTGATAGTGAAAGTATACGACAAATATCCATCAACGGCCACTCGCAGGGAACGTTTTTTCAGAAAGCTAGAGAGCCATGCACAAAAATGATCCGACAAACCATAGCATCAAAGTTTGGCCAGCAAACTCTCATGCCACACACCGTCAAAGGTTTCTCGATTGCGTTACTCCAAATATGGTTGACATATGATAGAAGGTTGCCTGTTGATCTTTGTCTCCGAGAGCCATATTGATGATCGCTCAAGATGTTGAAGCCTTCCAAATATTCAAGGATATGGTAGCTTACGGCTCCCTCCATGTTTTCTGATAACATTGATAGTAAAGCGATTGGTCTATAGTTATTTGAAAGATTTTTCTTGTCCTTTCTGAGAATAGGCTGAACGCGAGCGAACTTTAAACGAGAAGAGAAGCCGCTTTCTTGAAAGACAGGTTGAAAAGTCTTCAAAATACTGGTGCGAGTTCATTGTCGCACTTTTCGAGTACGATGACGGGCACTCCATCAGGACCAGACGCCTTATTGAGAATGAGCTGTTTCAAATTTCCTCTCACTAGAAGTTGTCGAAAAGAAATTTCCGGCATTGTGGATCATTATGTGGGAATAGTTTAACCCAACGAACCTTTCAATGAATACAATATTTTTGCATCATCTTTTTTTTTTTGTTTCAGAACCCCTACAAATGAGTACATTGGTCAGTGTGGCAGGAGCCCTTCTAGTGATTTTCCTGCTGTTCATTTGCGTCTGCGTATACGCAATTAGAGCAGAAAAATGCTGCTTTGCCCGTAAGTTATCCTAAAAACACATTTTCAATTACCACTCTCATTCCAGTAGTTAGCTTTCCAGTGAAAATTGCTTTTGTTTGAAAACATTTCAATCCACAGAAAAAGTTTGGATTGCTTCAATGAAAAAAATTAATTCATTAAGATTTGTTAATTCTAGTCTTTCAATCAACTGCTATGTGGAACGGTGGTTCGATTCCTACGACCCGAAGTTCGATTTTAACTGCATATCATTCGACCCGTGCTAGGAATCGCACGCTAGGATGTAAGACCACCTCAATCCTCAGCTAGCGTAATGTATTCATTTGAGAAACTTCCACATGGAAACTGAATCACACGAAAAAAATCTTCGAATAGTTTTTTCGTAAGTGACATCCCTTTCGTATGATTTAATGTTCATGTGGAGTAGTCGCTTCAAAAGTTTCCCACGTATTTTGATCAAACGTGAAGATGTAGAAAGCCATAACATTTTTCCCTACATTTTGAAATCCTAATAGAATTTTCTACATAGCAATCTAGTTTTGAATTCAATTTCACTCCCTCTAAACTATACACTCTTCTATCTACTCGNATGTTCACCATAGTATACATAACTTCTGTTCTACTAAATAAATAATGTTTGAAGACAAATAAAAACAAAATGTGTCTGGCAGTGATAATTTAGAAAGCCCGTATATATTTGGTCTGTCTCAAGGGTCAGTAAATATAAAAATAAATATGATGTCATATCAGGATTATACTGATGTTCTTCTGCTAGAAAATGGTTTGGAAATATGAAATTGGTCTTTTCATTTGAGAAACTAACCTCTACGCTCATTAATTCTTTGTGAAAAAGTTTTTTTCTGTTTGGTCAAAATAATTTTCAGAGAAAGCTGAGTTTTTTTGAACAGATCGCTGCCAATAACGGTTACAAGGTAAATATTATTGAGTTCATTCTTTCCAACAAACTACAAAGGAAAGGATAAGCCAGGAACCGCGACTACCTAAATTCAAGAAACCATACCGTTCGCTACAGGACAAAACAAGAATGTTTTGGCTCAGCATACAGAACGAATAATGGTTCAAGTGAACTTATTGAAAACAATTTACACAAAACATCAGTGTTGGATAGATCAGGAGTATATAAGTTGATTTGTGGCTTTCGACCAAAACTTTATATTGGCCAAAAGGAAAGAACTTTTTTCCAAAGAATTAGGGAGCACAAAGAACCAATTTCACATTTGTAAAACATCTTGCAGAAGAAGTACATCAGTTTAATCATGACTATGACGTCTCACATTAGCCTTGACAAAGAATAAAGTCTGTGGAGTTCGAAGAGAAAATTTTGATACTTCATCTTTCATACTTTTTTTTGAAATTTATTTGTCTCACCAGTTGCTGAAAACTTCACGACAAATATCGTTTAAATCTGATGGTCGAAAGAACCACATCAGGCTTGTATAAGCCAGAGGTGAGAAATGAATAGTTCCAATGAGTTCGGTACTTTTCATTTTCAAC